GAGCGAGGGGCGAGGGGCTTGTTTGTTTGACGGAGCGTGCGTTACGCTCGAGGCATCGAACGCTGGGCAGACAAGGGCAGATTGATGGAGGACGGTTCAATCGAGGGATGGATGGACGTTGGTTTTCGAGGGCGATCAATAATGATAGTGCTGATCGGACGCTGGAGATTCGGTGGGTGTTTTGGAAGAAGCAGTCGTTCGATCAGAGGAAAAGGGTAGCCTTTTGGAAGGGGTGCCAGGTCAAAGCATGGAGGAGGGGAGACGGGGGGGCAACACCAGAGGTTTGGTTTGGGAGGTGGGTGTTGGTTGATGAACGTTGTTGTCCTGGGACGTGAACACGAGCAGACAGGCGGACGGTGTTTGGAGTAGGTAGGCGATGGGTCCGGGGGGGGCAGCCTATCCCGTTTGGCCTGGGTCATGCCGTCAGGAACACACTAGCGATAGTTAGAGACGGCCACAGCACTGCCTTTGCACCTGGTGCAACCTGCCTTGGCGGCCCGCAATGCACCGCTGAGGGTGCCCACTATAGGGAGATACCTGTCTCCCGTGGTGGCTCTCTAGGGGAGGGGAGGTACCTTTACAGCGGGGGGGTGTTGGCGGCGTGAGGCTTGGGCGGGTGCGCCTGGCCCGTGTCGCGACAGTCGTTGCCAGTGACTGGGCACTTGCCTGGTTGGTTGGCCAGGGGCGCCCGATCGCTTTGGGGGGGGGGAGGAGGAGGAAGGGGGCCTCGGCGGGGAACTTGGGCCGGAGTCAGCCCGCCTTGACTCTGGCCACCAAGACATGCTGACTATGCTGACTCCGGCCACTCTAGGTAGGTATCTCACGTAGTGCTGGGCCTAGAGAGCAGCGAGAAGGCCACCACTCTTCCGACTTTACAACTCAACCCATCTGGAGGACATGATGGCAGCGAGATTCATCACTGTTTAGCACTGTCATAGAGTCCAAGGTCTAAACATTCTATGCAAGACGGAAGCATCTAGCTCTGCCTCCCACGGTCTATTCTGCCCTGGGGTACTCCCGCCAGTCCGGCAGCTGATAGCCCGTGCGATCGTCATCCCCGCGTCCCACCCACTCGGCTCCAATGTGCGGCACGACGGCGTCGTAAAAGATGCGGTACGCCTCGCCGCTCATGTGCAAGCCGTCCGGCAGCAGGTCGGCGAGGACGCCGCGCTGGCCACTCTCAAAGGTGCCGAGCAGGGGCCTGCCGGCGCCGGCCTCGTAGTCCGGCGTCTTGGCGACGGCGTAGTCCATGAGGGCCTTCCACAGGTCGATGAGGACGACGCCCTCGTGCTCGGCGGCGACGTCCCGCGCCAGCTGGGAGTACTGCGCGCTGATGGCGGAGTAGCGCGTCGTCTCGGGCCAGCCCTTTTCCTTGTCGAGGACCTCGATGCGGATCTCGTCGACGGGCGGCGGCGTCACGAGCAGAATCTTGGGCTTGTGGGCGGCGATGGCCGGGTGCGTGATGATCTTGGCCAGGTTGGCGCGGTACTTGTCCTGCGCCACGTGCTGCGTGTGCATCGGCCGCACGGCGTCGTTGGCGCCGAGCAGCACGAGCAGGTACTCGATCTTCGGCGTCGTGTCCGAGGGCGGCTGGAAGAGCGTGTCGAGGTGCTGGACCACGTTGGCCGTGTTGTAGCCCGAGAAGCCACGGTTGATCACGTCAAGACGTCTGATGGTGTCTGGTGCCGTGTGAGCCCGGGAATTTTTTTTTGTCTCTATGATAGTATAGTCATGCGGCCTCAGGACGACTCACGGATCTGCAGTTGCGACTGGAAGGAGAAGCCATCAAGAACCTCGACGGCGTGCTGAAACAGCGAATCGCCCAGCAGGACGACCTGAGGATAGGGTTTCTGGTGACTCGTCAGTCTACATGCTTTGGCACGAGCTTTGTCAAGACTTTTCCAGCCGTGTACTTACCGTAGCCATGTTGGGCGCTTCTGAGAGGCTGAATGCGTCTGAGTGAAGGGTATGAGGTGAGAGGTGAGAGGGGTCAGGCTGCAGGGTGGTGGATTGTGTCTCGATAAGACTTCTCGTGTGGGTCAAGAGGCCGGTTGGTTGATATGGAGCCTAATGGTTGTATAGATCGTAGGGATAAAAGGTCGACCAGCAGCTCGGGGTGCATGATGCTTTTATGAGATGGACTCAAGCTGGGCCTCGGAGTGAGTACGACGAGCCACGGTCCATAGAGCCGACGCCTTTGGTGCGGACCAGGGCGTGCGGTAAATTCGGGTGATTTTTGATTCCTTCGATTGCTCCGTCTTGTTGCCATGACCCTCCCAATAAAACGCCATTCAACCTCAGCATGACACGAATGCGCCCTACCGGTGACATTTTGTATGTGTTGTCAACATGTCGACCCTTTTTTCCGGACGACGGGAAGCATGGGAAACCGAAAAAGCCCGCCGTCGCAGCCTGACGGAAGTGCTCTTTCTTGGCCTCGCTACAATTCGTGACGGCAGCCTGGTGTTCGGCATGTGTCGTGGTGGAGGCGTTTGCAGGAGTGGCGGGTTCCTCAGCCGTCGGGAGTATGATCTGTGCCTGGGTGCATGCTGTTCTATGATGGACACAGACCCATGTGCTTGGATGCCTCGAGACATTGCTGTCATGGTGCCTTCCGTATTGATTGAGGCATATGCCTTTGCATTGTACTTGCCCAAGGCCACATGCCTCTGCATTGCACTTGCCAAAGTTGGTATTTCATGGTGACTCCAAGTTACCTAGGTAGGTAGGTAGGTACGATTCAAGGGAAGTGCCTCGCAGCTGTACATGCTACAGAACACCCATCAGTGCTGGCAACCGCTGCTGGATGCCCCGCAGTGGCCCTTTCGCGGCTGTCAGTGGGCCATCCTTATCAACAGCCCCCTCCATTGGCTGCAACCCCTTATCGCTGCCTTTCGCGGCAAAACGAATGGCCCGTCCAGAAAAAAAATCCAGACAAGCCCAGAGCAGGTACGACTACGCCAGCAATTGGATCGTCTCAAGGCTGGTTCGAAAGAAAAAAAACCGACACGGCAGCCTCGACAGCGGCCAACTCCCAATATCCCCGCCACAACACATAGACACACACATACACACATACACCCACACATACGGCATCACACCACGGATGACCTCCTCTCACATCTGCACGCCCTGAGAAAATGGCGACCTCCCTAGCCGCCCAGCTCGCGCAAATCGCCGCCAGCTCCAAGTCGTCTCTCAACGTCAAGGCGCAAAAGGCGTCCCACTCCAAGTCTCTCATCTTCGAGCCCCGCGTCGCCGCCACCCAGAGCTTCCAGGCTCTCTACAAAATATGCCTCGAGGGCTTCGACGAGCTGTGCCAGCTCGACCCGCGCTTCCGCCCCTTTGCCCTGACCCTCTTCAGCGAGCAGAGCCAGAGCGAGGACAGGACCCAGATGACGGCTGGCGAGAATGCAGAGCTCGACGCCAAGATTGACGCCTTCCTGCGCCTCGCCGGCAGCCGCCTGCGTCTGATGCCTGCGATCAAGGCCATCGAGTGGCTCATCAGGCGGTTCCAGTGCGTTGCTTGACCCTCTTGCCCCCCATATCTCACAAAGCTTCCCGCTAACAACCAACGAGGATCCACGAGGACAACACGAAAGCCCTGCTGACGACCTTCCTCCCCTACCACTCCATACCCGCCTTTGTCACCCTGCTGTCCATTCTCCCCGCCAAGATACCCGCCGAATACCGCTTCCTGCACCCCTACATTCGCTCCCTGACGAGCCCGCCCCGGTCCGTAATCGTCCACAAGGGCATCCAAAAGTCCGACTTCCTCTCAACCCTCTCCGAATACACCCTCGAGGCCTGCCGCCACCAGCAGCAGTACCCCACCCTCGTCTCCTTCTGGGGCGGCCTCATGACCGAGGCCGTCAACGGCCTGCTCGAGAACGCCCGCTCCGTTCGCCACGCCGTCCAGAAGGACGACGACCAGGCCCTGTTCCAGCGCCTCGGACCCGTTTTTGGCGAGGCCCTGCTCATGAAGAATGAGCCCAGCATGCAGATCGCCACCTACATGGCCATCTCCGTCTTTGCCGCCAAGGCCACTTCGACGACGGCGTTCTGTCCGCCTTTATGGAGCAGATTGTCCACGGCTGGAGCCACGAGACGGCCCGCCCCGGCCTCGTCTGCCTCTCCATCCTCGCCCAGCACCGCTCCGCCAAGCAAATGTCCGGCAAGGTCACAAAGGCCCTCATGAAGGTCCCCGACCTTGGTGCCGTCCTCGTCGACATTGGCCGCCAGCAGAGGGCCGACAAGCTGACCAACGGCCTCTGCATCGCTCTCGTCGAGCGCCTCTGCAAAAAGGGCGACGACCGCGGCCTGCCCGTCATCCGCGCCGTCCTCACCGGCCAGGTCCTGCAGGAGAAGCAGATTGCCGTCGTCTTCAAGTCCCTCGTCCTCGCGGCCCACCGCCTCAACGACGAGATCGACCCCGACGGCCAGGTCCGCAAGGAGCTCGGCTCGACCCTGATCGACCTCTCCCGCCACACGGGCGACTCGAGCGACATCATCCAGAGCGTCATCCAGGAGGGCGACCTCGATGTCGAGGCGCTCGAGATGAAGCTCGACGTCTCCATACGGCAGCAAAAGGTGCTGCAGGCACCAGAGGATGTCGACATGACGGGCACCAGGCCCGCCAGGGCCCCGAAGCTCGACCTCCACGCCGCCCTCGAGCGCCACGCCGCCGCGCAGGAGGCCGCCCCTCCTCTGCCCTCGTGCCTCTCCGCCAGCCCCGGCGACGTGTACGACGAGTTCGGCCAGCTGTTCCTCCAGATCGTGGCGCAGAGCTCCGAGGAGCCCGCCCTCCTGACCACCTTTACCCAACTCCCGACCCTCCACCGCCAAGAGGCGGCCACGGATTGCACCTACGCCGCCTTTTTCATCCGCATCTGGTGCGGCCCCTACCCCACGCTGGCTCGTGCCGCGGCTCTGGACGCCGTCAAGCAGGGCTTCCAAGCCGGCAACGCCGCCAACACGGACTTCCAGGCCATCATTCCCTTTTGCCTCGTGGCCCTACTCGACTCGTCGAGAAAGGTGCGCCGCGCCGCTGCTGATCTCCTCATCCAGGTCAAGGCCATGTCCCCCGCCGCCCCCGCCAAGGGCAAGAAGCCGCGGGCCTGGGGAGGCAACGGCCTCTACCCGGACGGCGTCAAGGTCCAGGCCATGGAGCCCGAAGTCGTCTCGAAGCTGCTCAACGACGTCCTGCTGCCGAGCCTCGAGGAGTGCATCATGCACGAGGACTTTATCAGCACCCTCCTCCACGCCAGCCTCGACAGCAGCGCCAAGAAGGCGGACGACAAGAAGGCGCTGTCGCAGTCGACGAGGCAGTCCATCTTCGCGTCCCTCGCGAGCCACGTCGTCGCGTCGCCCCTGCTCAGGGTCAAGTCCAGCCTCCTCGCGCTGCTCAACCAGATCAAGGGCGTGTCGTCCGTGTCGAGGACCAAGGTCCTGCTGCCGGCGTTCCGCTGGTGGGCCGCCCTCACTGCCGACGAGGCGACGGTGCTGTGCCAGAACGAGCAGGTCGACCCCTTTGCGCTCCACCGGCGGTTTGCCGAGACGGTCGTGGCCAACGACCAGGGCGGCCTCGAATTCCTGTTGTCCATCATCCAGGACCCGGCCTCTGAGCGCCGCCCGGAGCTGGTGCGGTCGAACTTTGCCCGCCTGCGCGCCATGTGGGCCGCCATGAAGTCGGACACCAAGTCGGACGTCTCGCGCACCATGCTCGACATTTACCAGAACCGCCGCAACACGGGCGACGAGCAGCAGCAGCGCGAGCAGCAGCAGCAGCAGCAGCAGAGTGTGGTCGCCGACGAGGCGGCCGATCTCCTCAAGAACGTCGACCTGACGACGGACATTCTCGCGCACGCGCTGTCTGCCATCCAGGCGCAGACGCGCGCCGTCACCGAGGCGCCGCCGAACAAGCGCCGCAGGACCAGCACCGAGGCGAACCGCGGCTCGCAGGTCTACACGCCGGCCGAGCTCAACAAGACGCTGCGCGACGTCACCTTTGTGCTGCAGCTCGTCGAGGGCTCCGACCCCAAGGCGCACCCCGAGCTGCTGCACAGCCTCTTCGACACGCTCTCGGAGCTGCAGCGCTTCGGCGTCGTCGTCGGCTCCGAGCTGGGCTACCTGCAGAACCTCGTGCTCACGAGCCTCATCGCCATGGTGCCTGCCTACAAGACGGACAAGAAGCTCAAGATTGACAGCTCGGGCGGCCACGGCGACCTCTTGGCCAACTGCCTGCAAAAGTCCACGAGTCCCATTGTGCAGAACTCGGCCCTGCTCCTCATTGCCAGCCTGGCGACGGCGGCGCCCGACGTTGTGCTGCACAGCATCATGCCCATCTTCACCTTTATGGGCGCCTCGGTCCTGCGCCAGAACGACGACTACTCGGCCCATGTCGTCAACCAGACGATCAAGGAGGTCGTGCCCCCGCTCATGGAGTCGCTGAAGAAGGGCAAGAGGAACCCCATCGCCGGCGCGACGGAGCTCCTCGTCAGCTTTGTCACGGCCTACGAGCACATTCCCTCGCACCGCAAGCAGGATCTCTTCGTCTCGCTCGTCGACACGCTCGGCCCCGAGGAGTTCCTGTTCGCGCTCCTCGCCATGCTCGTCGACAAGTACGGCTCCGGCCCGAGCATCGCGTCCTTCGCCGCCGACCTGCTGGCCGTCTACAACGCCGAGGTGCAGCTGCACACGCTCGCCAAGCTCCTCGATCTCATCAGCGACATCTTCAAGCCGCGACCGGCGCTGTCGGCTACGCTCCTGGGCGTCGGGGACGAGCTGGCCGAGCGAGACGTCAACACGGTGGCTCTCCAGCAGCTCTCCGTGTTCCCCTCGCTGCTGTCGGGCCGCAAGCTGCGCAAGGAGATTGGTATTCTGACGGAGCGTGACGACATGGAGACGTCCAAGATGCGGGAACTGTACGCGACGCTGCTCAAGGACACGCTGGCGCTGGCCGAGACGGTCAAGCCCACGCGGGCACTGCACGAGTGCTGCGGCTCGGCGCTGGCGAACCTGCTCAACCTCTTGTCGATTGGCGAGTTCATCAAGGCTGTGGAGAACCTCATGGACAAGACGGAGATTGACCTGCGGCGCAAGGTGCTGCGGGCGCTCGAGGTGCGCGTCGAGCAGGAGGGCACGGCGGACGCGACATCACGGGCGGCGCTGCTGGGCTTCCTGCCGCAGCTGACGGCGGCCATTCGCGACACGGACGATCTCAAGTACAAGCACACGGCGGTGGCGTGCGTGGACAAGATTGCAGAGAAGTACGGCAAGAAGGACCTCGAGGCGGTGGCGGCGGCGGCGGCGACGATTGCCGGGCCCTCGTGCCTCGGCCAGCCGGACACGCAACTGCGCGTCATGGCGCTGCTCTGCCTGGCGTCCCTCGTGGACGTGCTCCAGGACGGCATCCTGCCGGTGCTCGCACTGGCGGTTCCGCAGGCAATTCTGTACATTCGCCAGAGCCTCGAGGCGGAGGATGGCGACGAGCAGAGCAGCGACTTGCACAACGCGGGCTATTCGTTCATGACGGCGCTGGCACAGCATCTGCCGTACATGGTGACGGGGGCCTATCTCGATCAAGTGCTCCTGGCATCCAACGCGTCGGCGGAAGCGGACCTCGACGACGATGCCAGCGACAGCCGGCTCAACTGCGTCCGCTTCCTGGCGCGCAAGGTGGAGCCCAAGGTTTTCTTCGCGGGTCTCGAGCGCAACTGGGAGGCGGCGCTCGCGGCTGGAAACGAGGTACGTCACTTTCTCGGTGCAGCACATGTCACATTACGGGAAGCTAACAGAGGCCAGGCCATCAGCGAATACGTCGACGTGCTGGGCGTGGCTGTCGAGAGCCACCCCAAGTCGGTGATCGCCAAGAACGTCACGGTGCTCTCGACGATTCTCCTCAAGACGCTCGACCTCCGACGACAGCAGCTGGCCAAGGAAGCGGCGACACAGAGCCAGCTCGAGGCGCTCTCGGCATTGGAGGATGCCGTCAACGACGTGGCGATCAAGATGGTGTACAAGCTCAACGACGCGGCGTTCCGACCCATCTTCACGCAGGTGGTGGAGTGGTCGGGCCAGGTGAGCAAGTCAGACAAGGCAGGACGCACGAGGCGGCGGCACAGCGTGTACGGGTTCCTGCAGGTCTTTTTCGAGAAGCTGCGTTCGATCGTGACGAGCTACTCGACGTACATTGTCGAGGACGCCGTGGCGATCCTGCAGGGGGCGGACTTGGCGGACGGCGAGCAGAGGCAGCTGTGGTCGCGGGTGCTCGGCACGCTGGCTCAGTCGTTTGAGCACGACCAGGACGACTTTTGGCAGGCGCCGGCGCACTTTGGCGGCGTCGCGGGGGTGCTCACGGGCCAGCTCACGCGGGCCGGCGGTTCCGACAAGCTGGATGTCGGGGCACACCTCATCCCGGCCCTCATCGAGCTCGCGAGCGCGGCGGACTCGGCGGACCACCAGAAGGAGCTCAACACGGCGGTGCTCAAGCACCTGCGGGACGAGCGGGCCGGCGTCAGGCTGGCGGCGGTCAAGTGCCAGCAGGCGCTCACGGACAAGCTGGGCGAGGAGTGGTTGTCGGCGCTGCCAGAGATGCTGCCGTACATCAGCGAGCTCCAGGACGACGACGACGAGGCTGTAGAGAGGGAGACGCACCGGTGGATTGTCAAGATTGAGGGTGTGCTGGGTGAGAGTCTCGACTCGATGCTGCAGTAAGGGGAGAAGAAGAAGAGGAAATAGACGAGGAACAAGAAGTGTAAGTAGAAGAGGAAGAGGGAGAGGGAGAGGGAGAGGGAGAGAGAGCTGGAGGAGGCGCATGTACGTATGAGTACGAGTACCTATGATAGGAGGTCGAGATGTGCCATGGCCATCTGCCCATCTTGCTATTGGAATGCATTTACTTTGGAGTTCATCGCTGCTTCGTCTGTATGCTGTGAACGACTTGTCAGCATGACTTGGCTGACTGTCTGATGGACCGTCTCCAGAAGCTCGCCGGTGAGGTTTCTCCCGTTTTCTTTTGCGCCTCCTGTGATTCATGACCAGACTTGGATCGGTGTTGCCGCATTGATCAACAGCAGCCATCGTCCTTTCTCTCTCGTTGGCCCCTGCCCGTTGGCCCCTGCCTCTTCCTCAAGACCTGCAAGGCCAGGAAGGAGTTCCCGGGTCTCGCCAGGACCTTTAGGTGATCCGTGCTTCCGGATCCGGCACCCGCAAGATGCGCTCCGACACACCGGTCGCTCCTGCCCCTGTCGTCATCGGTCGTCAATTGTCAGGAGCGACCTCTGCCACAGCAATTATGTGATGGTGATCAGAACATGACTCTCCTCACCCCTCAGAACACCATCCTAAAAATCATCGAGTTACCATCCACATCCATCATCACGAGGCCAAAAATGCACGCGAGACGACAAGGGGAAAATCCTTCCTTGCTGACGCACAGCCTGCCATCCCGACCCATTATCGTGGCATCCGACAAGCACCGCTTCGGTGCCTTGGCCGGACCCCGTGTCCCCGGGGGCATTACTCATCGCACCCACCAAGCTCTCCCTAGGCCCCGAGAGGCAAGGCTGTGATCGGTCTGGCCCGCCCATGACATCAAGTGCCAGGGCACCTGGAAAAGAAAAGCATGAGGTCCGGTTCATACGGCCTCGGGTTTGCACTATGAAAGAGCTTCCTCGTCCTACCTTTCATTGTAGCCCCTTCTACAAACTCACCAGTGCAACATACAGCCGGAATAGTCACCATGGCCTCGTCTCAGGCAGCCCGGAGCTACTGGAAGAGCGTCGGTCATTCTTACCTGCGGCGTGATGCTCTGGCCCTGGCCTCGACGACAAACTCAACAACGACAGCTGTTTCATCATCGCCCAAGACGAGTCCTTCCACGCTGCGGCATGCCACGACAGACTCTACACGACCGAGGGAAAGGGTTGTCATATTGGGTTCTGGCTGGGCAGGCTATGCACTCGCTCGTGCTCTCGATCCTGCCAAGTACGAGCGCATCATCGTCTCGCCTCGCTCTCATTTCGTATTCACACCTCTCCTGGCCTCGACGTCTGTCGGCACCCTCGAGTTTCGCTCCATCCTCGAGCCCGTTCGCCGTCTCAAGCCCGATGCCTTCCACCAGGGATGGGCCGACGACATTGACTTTGCCCACAAGACACTCAAGGTCGAGACCAATGCCGATGCCGATGAGCTCTCCTCTCGCACCCTGCCGCCGCCGCCCTCTACATCGTCTCCTTCTGGCACGTCCCCTTCCGAGGTCACAATAGCCGCCTCCACGCCCACCATGAAAGCCTCTGTCACGAAGCGCAAAGGGGAGGTCATCAGCATTCCCTACGACAAACTCGTCGTCGCCGTGGGCTCCTACTCCCAGACCTTTGGCATCCCCGGCGTGCGCGAGCACGCCAACTTCCTGCGCGATGTCGGCGATGCTCGCTCCATCCGTCTGCGCGTCCTCCAGTGCTTTGAGCGTGCCGCCCTGCCCACCGCCACGCCCGAGCAGCGCCGTGCGCTTCTCCACTTTGCCGTCGTCGGCGGAGGTCCCACGGGCATTGAATTCGCCGCCGAGCTGCACGACCCTCATCTACGAGGACCTCGCCCGCCTCTTCCTCCAGTAGATGCCCTCGGGGGCCATCACCGTCTAAGACAAAGCTCCCAAGGTGGTGGCCATTGTTCTACAAGCAGCTCGCCTCGTATGCCATTGACTTGTTCAAGCGCCAGGGCATCCATATCAAAAACGGAACACCACCTCACGCAGATTCGCCAGGATGACCAGTCCCCACACGGCGCCCTGAAACTCTCGATCCAGGAAGAGCCCGGCGCAGAGGTCGGCGCTCGCCTCCTTGTCTGGAGCACCGGCCTCATGCCCAATCCGCTCGTGCAGAAGATGGTCGCGCGTGAGCTGCGCCTTCCGGGATCAGGCGACAGCAGCCCGCCCGAGACGTTTCATCTCCAGACGGGGCGCTCCGGTGGCCTCCTCACGGATGATCACCTGCGCCTGCGTCTCGATCAAGGCGACCGCACCCTGCGCGATGTCTTTGCCATGGGCGACTGCGCCGTGATGGACCGCGAGGCCCTGCCCGCCACGGCCCAGGTCGCCTCCCAGCAGGCCGTGTACCTGGCCCGCACCCTCAACCGCCACGGCGACGACGTCTCGCGCGCGAAGCCTTTTGCGTGGCGCAACCTCGGCACCATGGCCTATCTCGGCAGCTGGCGTGCCATCCACCAGAGCTCGGCCGACGGGCTCCGGGGGAGGTTGGCTTGGGTGCTCTGGAGGGGGGCGTACCTGACGATGAGCATGAGCGTGAGGAACAAGATTATGGTGCCGGTGCACTGGTTCATGACGTGGGTGTTTGGGCGGGACATTTCGCGCTTCTAGGCCGAGTGCCTTGTCAGTCGCGAAAGCTGCGAAAGCTGCGAAGAACAGAGAAACAAATGGAGTACAGAGTACAGGTAGAGCGGCAAAGCGATTTTGTATCAAGCACAGCACGAAAGGGGTGGCCCAGGCGTTGGTTGATTTGAACGGACATGGTAACAAGACTTGTAAGATGTATATTTTCTAGAAGAACAAAACTCCGCCTGCTATACCGTAACGCCTCCCATGCATGTCTTCATCTATCTACATGTCCATACGTCGCCTCCTCACGCGTTGACCTCGGCGAACCATGTCCTCAGCAGGCCGGCCAGCGCGTTCGGCAGCTCCTCGAGGTTGTGCACAATGAGGTAGTACTGGAAGGGGAACGTGTCGAGGTAGCGCTCAATGACGACCTTGCTGTTGCCCATTTCGTCCTTGACAAACTTGGCCTCCTTGAGGTCGAGGACGCTGTCGGCGTCCTTGCGGCTCGTGTCGTCCATGACGATGAAGACGATCATGATCCTCTCCTCCATGGCCTCGCGCAGCAGGCGGCGGATGGCATCGTGGGCCGACGACGGCGTCAGGCCGTCGGACAGCACGAGGGCCAGCTGCCAGAGGTCCTCGGCGCCGCGGGCCGGGCTGCGGGCGCGGGCGTCGCGGAAGCGGTCAATGGTGCGGCGCACGAGCATGGCGACGTCGGTGCGGTCCTGGTCAAAGGCGAAGCGCTGCAGGACGCGGGCGCCGGCGTCGTGCGAGGCAAAGGGCTCGTCGAGGGCGTGGGCGGCCACGACGTCGGCGCCGAAGCCCAGCACGCCGACCTGGCCGACCTCGAGCATGGCCAGCGCGCGCGACACCATGACGAGCGACTCGAGCGCCAGCGCGCCGGCCGCCGTCTCGCCCATGCTGCGGCTGTCGTCGACGCAGAGCAGGATCTGGTACGCCCGCTTCGTCGGCACGGCGCGCCGCATCCAGATCTTGTCGCGCTTGTAGCTCGACGCGATGTACGGGATGATCTTCTTGATGTTGAGCCGCTTGCCCGTGCGGAACGACCCCGAGAGCTTGGTCGACTGCGACGGGTTGAGGATGAGCCGCAGCTGCGACGTCAGCGACTGCGACAGCGCGTTCGTCTTGGTCTGGAACCCCGTCCACAGCTGCATCGCCTCGTCAAAGTCGCGCAGCGGTCGCTCTGGATCGCCCGTGAGGTGTGTCTCGGAGAGCTGCGCCGAAGCCTCATCCATGTTGTTGTCTGCTTCGTCCTCGTCCTCGTCCTCGTCCTCGTCCGCGTCCTCCATCTTGACGGCGTCCGCGTCTTCGGGCGTCGCCTCGCGGTCGAAGGCGCCCTGGCGTGTCTTGACGCCGGACCGCCCGTCGTCTCGTTCGGGGCCGTCCTTCTTGTCCTCGGGCTCGTCCGTGTCCATCTCGTCGCCGGCCGCCTCGTCTTGCTGCTCGGGCTCTTGCTCGCTCTCCGGCACCACCCGGCTCGACGGGTCTTCTTTTTCCTCGTCAATCGCCATGGCGTCGTCGATGGGCTGTACCTGATCGTCCGACGCCGCACCGAGCGCCTGGGCGTCCGGCGCCGTCTCGTCGTCCTGCATGTGCTGGAACTCCTTGGCTGCCATGTCGTCGGCGTCTTGCTGGGGCTGCTTGGCCTCGCCCTCTTCTTCCTTCTGCTCCGCCTCCTTGATCTCCGTCTGCTGTCGGTGCCATCGCTCGAGCGCGTCGCCGAGCTTCTTGAACGGATCCTGGCGAGGCTCCTCGCGCGCTGCCTCGTCCTCCTGCTGTTCGGTGGGCTGCGCCTGGTCGTCTGAGCGCGAGACGGCGCCCTTCTTGCCGGCGTCGGCCTCTTGCTTGGCGGCGCCCTCGCCGGCATCGCCCTCGTCGCGCTGTGCTGCGCTGTCGTCGGGCTCGTTTTCGACGTCCATGCTGTCGGCGTTTTGATCCTGGCCGCCGCTCTTGACGTCGCTCGGCGCCGCGTTCTCTGTATCGGCGTTGGCCGTGTCCTGGTCGGCATCCTGCCGCTTGTCTTCCGGCTCGTCGGGCTGCTCAGGCTCGGCATCGGGATCCTCGCCATCCTGCTCCTCTTCGGCCTTGGGTTCGTCGTCAATCTCGTTGCCGCCCATGTCCATTTCTTCCTCGGGAGCCTCGTCTGCCTGTTCGGGGTCTTGGCCACGCTCGGGCTGCTGGTCGTCTTCAATGTCCGATTCGTGCTTCTCCGGCAGGTCAGGCAGATCGTCCTTTGGCTCGCCCGAGTCAGACATGTCGTCGAGGTCGTCGTCGTCCGATCCAGACTCCTCGTCCTTGAGGTCGAGCTCCATGTCATCAGGGAGTGCCAGGGCGTCCTCCTGCTGCACGTTTTGATCCTGCTTGATGTCCTCCTGGAACTGCACGTCCTCCTGCTCGGCGGCAGGGTCTTCGTCCTCGCCCTCGTCGCCCTGCTCGTCGCCGGGCTCCTCCATCTCGCCGCTCTCGTCGTTGGGCTGCGCATCCGCCGCCGCCGTCTGCTCGTCCTTCTGCTGGCCCTTGGCCTTCTCGCCCTGCTGCTCCTTCTCCGCCTCGTCTTCGTTTTCGCCGTCCCACATCTTCTCGTCCACCGCCGTCGGGTCGAGATCATCGACCTCGCCCGCTTCCTCCTCCATGTCATTGTCGTCGCCATCCTCGTCTCCGTCATCCTTGTCATCGCCATTCTCGTCGTCGTCGGCACCGTCGACGCTCCCCATGTCACCCTCCATGTCCTCATCCGCCATGTCGACGGCATCCTTCTCGTCCTCCATCTCGCTGTTGCGCTCCTTGTTCGGCTCCTGCGCGAGCTCAGACAGGTCCTCGTCGGGCTGGATGTCCTTGCTGATATCCTCGGCGCCCTCGCCGTCGCCGAGACCGGTGCCCGACTCGAGCTTGCCCGCGTCGCCCTGCGTCTCGTCCGACTTGTCCTGCGGCGTGCAGAAGCCCTTGGCCGTGAGCTGCGAGAACGTGAGGCCGAGAAAGTGCGTCATGCGGCCCGTGGCCTCGTGCAGGTCGCGCAGCTGCGCCACGCTCTGCTGGCACGTCGCGGCGTACTGGTCGAGGATCGGGAGCACGGCGCCGAGCATCGACGTCGCCGCCGACCGCAGCGCCGGCGCGTCGAGGTCGAGACGCTCGAGCGCGGACAGGCAGCGCCGGATGGCGTCGGTGACGCCGCGTATGTGCAGGCCCTTGAGCATGGCGGCCGAGGCGGCGCTCGCGTCGACGAGCCAGGCGGCGCCGTCGCTGGTGGTGGGCAGCCCGGTCGCGGCCTTCTTGTGCACCTGCATGGCGACGAGCACCGAGTTGCAGACGTTGGAGACTTCGGCGCTGAAGCTGTCGAGGCTTGGGGGGGACTCGAGCGCGTCGTTGTCGTCGTCGTAGTCCTGACGCGAGACGGTTGTCCAGGCCTTGATCTGCTGAAGCACAAAGGCCAGGTCGGGATGGGCCGAAGCCATGTCGTCCAGCTCCTTGCCGAGCGCCTGGAGGCTCAGCTGCGATTCTTCGTCAATGGCCTTTTGTTCCGAGGTCTGGAGCCTCTCGGGGATCGTCGATGACGTGTCGCGTTTTGTCAGGCTTGCAGCAAATCCATCCAGCCGGTTCTGGAGGGTCTGGACGACTTGAGAGTGGTCGGTGGTCGCGAGCTTGCCGTGAACCTCGACGAGCTGGACACCAAATCGGAGGACCGGCACGATCCAGTCGACCGCCTTGAGCAGGTTCGACGATTGTCTTTGCACCGTGAGAGACTTGTCTCCCCAGTACATGCTCAGCTGGCGGACCGAGCCGATGACCTCCTTGAGCGGGCCGACAGAGGTGCTGGCCGGCACGAGGGATGCCCTCTGCTGCAGAAGCAGCTGCACGAAGCCCTCCATGAAACCGACGCTGCGCGTGACCTCAGCGCCCGTGAGCTCGCTGTGGTGATCAAGGCCAGCCGGCCTGACCTTGGCCGCGATATCAATGGCCTTCTGGAAGTAGTACTCGGCAGCATCCTGGCCCTCGCTCTCGCGAGCATAGGCGCGCGTGCTGCCGAGAACGGTGGCCGTCGTCTTTTGCCTGTTGAGATCCTCGGTGCCGAGGTTGTGCCTGACACCCATCTTGCGCAGGGCCTTGAGAACATCGGCAAACAGGTTCCGCTTGCGCGTCTTGAGGTGCTTGACCTGGTCCTTGTTCTCGTCGTTGAGGAACGGCGGCGTCTCCTTGCGCAGTTCGGCAATCGAGGCCTTGAGCGACTCGACGAAGGCAACGGCTTCTTGACTGGCGGCCGTTGTGCCTGAGCTGTACTTGGTGACGTTGGCCATGACCGACAGCGTCGTGTCCATGTTGTTCAGTCGCTTGTTCTGCTTCAGCCACTGGGGCGCGGCCTTCTTGCACCGCGCCAGCGCCTTCTTGTCCACGCTCGGGGTGACGATGATCGAAGCGGCGCCGCTGTCAGTGATGGGCTCCTTGTCTGGCAGACCCTGCTCGATGACGGGGGCAGCCGGCTGGCCGAGCACGGAACGGAACTTGCGGACGAGCCTGAACAGGCTGCGGTGAGACTTGCGGGCGCTCTCGCGGAGTGCGTTGATGTTGGTGTCTTTCCAGCTCGCCATCAATACAGTGTTCTTGACGTTCTTCTCAATCGGAGCCCTGCCGCGGCCAATGGCCTCGTCGATGACGGCCTCGAACCGGGAGTAAAATGTAATAAAGTTCTGCGTCGCGTCACGAACAACGGCGAGAGAGGGGTAGTCGACGGTCAGTAGCTCGAGGTGCTTCTGCATCTGGCGCAGAAGCGCCAGACGCCCGCTGAATTGTCCGACGATGGAAGTCGAGAAGTAGTTGCCCAGCTCCTTGACCAAGCTGACGGCGTACTCTTGCAGCTCGTCGGCCTTGTCCACGAGAGTGAGCGGCACCGCAACAACCACCTGGTATGCCATGAAGAACCACGAGTTGGCGTCGTCGCGGCACTTTTGCGCTTCCAGGTCGAACAGCCTGGCCCAGGTCTTGAGCTCCTCGCGGCGCCAGCTGATGATCATGTCGGTGAGGGCCGTGTACAGAGCCGGGGCTCCGTAGATCGCTGGCGCATAACCGCCATGCTGCCACTCGTAGACAATCATGTGCAGGTGTTCGAGCTTGGGCAGGATGCTCGCGAGCGGTTCGGTATGGACGAGGCTGAGCAGCGTCTCGCATGCCGTCAAAACATCAGCGAGAGGCTGCATGAAGCCAATCTCGTCAACCTGCTGAAGCTCATGGAAGCGGAGCTCGACCTTGTTGACGAGCGAGATCAGCTGTCGAACCATGGGCAGGTTGGCGTCGGAGTAGAAGTTGTAGTTGTCAGTCTGCACACTGACGTTCAGCGCACTCAACTCCTCGTACAGGGACCACATGGCAGAAGGCAGCATCTTCTGGTTGAGATCCTGACCCACGGCCACCCTCTGTGAGGCCTCGAGAGCGAGCTCATGGCTGATGGCAGCGCACGCCTTGCGGAGGCTCTCGGACGCTTCTTCCGGCTGTGAAAATATGTTGCGGTGGAGCTCAGCCATCTTGACAGACAAGTCGCGGACTTTCTGACGCTGAACAGCCGGTTTCTTGTCTTCCTCGTCATCAAAGGTCGGAAACAATTCGTTGAACTCTTCTTCATCTTGTTCCTCTTCGTCCTCGAAACTGCCTCTGAATTTGTACAGGCTGGTGTTCTCCTGCTCAGTCTTGCGGTCGGCCTCGAGCTTCTTGTTCCAATCGTCAAAGAAGCCATGAATTGAACTAAACAGAGCTTGACGGCTGGGCGCATCGAGGCGTGGCAGGCCCTCGACAGACACGACGAGACCCATGTAATTGAGGAAGTTGAGGCTTCGAGTCGGCAGCGAGGTCGCGTTCGGCTTAGGCAGCGTGCCTCCCAGGAAAGGAAGCACGCCCATGAAGGGGGCTGTCGGGAGCTGGTCCTGAAGAGAGGCGAGACCCTTATTGAGGGACAATCCAAGCTGAAGGCAGTGCAGGATGTTCACAGCGGGCAGAACCATATCTTGGTAAGCATCGAACCTGCTCGACAGACGATCGATCAGTTGGCCGACATTCAGCCTGACCAGATCCATCTCTTCATTCAGTCCAGTCGTGTCTGTCAGGGTGTGGGCAACATGGGTGGACGCTACGTCCATGTCGACAACGGACTTGAGAATGTTGTTGAAGTCCGCCTGGATACCGCCGAGTTCAGACTTGGCTGGGCGGTAGAGGATCTGGCTTGCTGGCGGGGCGGCTCCGAGAGCCTCAATCTCCTCCTGAACCAGCTGGGCGCGCAGGGAGGTCTTTTGTCCGGTGAAATGCGTCTCAAACTCTAGAAGAGAGGCAAGCCTGTGATCCAAGACTGCCTTGGTGTTGTCGTGAACCTCCATCTCGTACTGCGGCCTCAGCTGCGGGTCGAAAGCCTTGTCCGGGACGTAGAGCTTGATGCATCCGACGGAGAACTGTACCCAAGCCACGGAAGAGAATGCGACCACAAGTCGATCTCCAGCCGTATTTGCGCTATCCATGTGGGCGGCATGCTTGTCAGAAGCAGCCAGTGCGACGATAGACGGGAGTAGGTGGTCTTTGAAGACAGTGACAAGCTGCGCAGGCCACTCCTCGGGGAAGGCAACGCGAATCTTGAGCACCATGGCCTTGAGCTGTTCTGGCGTCGTGGCAGTCAAATCGGCATTGCTGTAAGCGCGGGTGAAGACGTTGTCGACAAGGGCACCCGCGTCAACGCTATGAGCAGCGACGATCTCCGAAATGAGATGCTTGAGTGAGTTGTTCAGTGCCTGGATGGAGTTGCTGGTGATATCAGGCGCCGATCGCGCAAGTGTCCGGCCCAGGAGAGGTAGCTCGGCCTCGAGCATGCGCAACGAGTCGAGGCTCGCATTCTTGATGGAATTAGACTTGGCAAGCAGAGAGGTTGCGAGTTTGCCGTTCCAGACATGCGTCTTGGCGTCTCGAGATGCGAGAAGACCGGTGGACAGGAGCTTCTGGGCAGAGCCCAAAGCATTGCTGAAGCGGCTCTGGTCGAAAGTGGGCAGATCCGAGGCGACAGCCAAGACCATGTGCTCAGCAGGCAAGGTGGTACCGTAAGAAATGGACTGGAGGACCAGGGCTTGCCGGAGGGTCTCGTACTCCGCCGTGAAAAAGGGGCTCACTTCCCTCGACGCAGAGCTGACGCCAGCCTCCAGGGTATCAATTTCCTTCTTCAGATCCACAATGAGCTGGGACGTGAGAGACGCGTTGCTTCGTACGATCTGGTCAGCGGTGACCAATGTCGACATGGCACTAGCAAGATCCGAGATGGAGGTTCGGACCTTCCATCTCAAGGCATCAAACCGGATCGCGAGACGCTCGATATCACGATGCGACTCGAGAGCTTCGGCAGAGAGAATGGCGGCTGGCTTGAGAAGATTCCAGAGGGGCTCCATGCTGAGACCGGTCTTGAGCTTGAAGCCCGCGTTGAAATCTTCCTGGATCGCTTGAAGGAAACCGGACGCGAGCGCACCGTGAATCGAGCTTTCCTGCACCTGGGAGAGGGCGGTCTGAAGTGACTTGACGCCATGACCGAGATGGGCTTGGAACCTTGCCTCTTCGAAGTGTTGTTGGGTGACGAGTCCAAAAGTTCGCCACCAGAAGTCCAACATGTGCCTGATGATTCGAGATTGATCCTGTTCTGGTGAGCAGCGGCACGTATAACAATTGTCATGTAGATGGCATACCTTCCAGTCACCGGCATCTTTGACGCTATCCTGAAGAAACTTGAGCGCCGCTTGGAGGACCTTGGTCAGGAACTTGGACACACTGGCTGTCGAATCCTTTGCCACAGCCGCAATGCGGTCCGAAACAACAGAGCGCTGAAGACGGTTCAAAGATGCAAGCTTGCCGGCCTTGGCACGCCCGACTTGGGCCTTGAGGGTAGATTGGCAACGCTGAAGCTCCAGGATGAATTGGAAGCAGCAGTTCAACCAGAACGCCAGGTCACCCGAGGTTCGTTGCAGAAGGCGGGCAATCGGGGCATTCTGAAGCGTAGATAGGGGCTGGATTGGTCAGTAAAGATGACTAGCTACAGTTGAGAGCAGACGGCTTACCTGGGCATGCTGCAGCTCGCTGTGGCTATCATTAGGCAGGGTAGCGTAAATCTCGAGGGTAGCCTGTCTAACCGCGGCAGCCTCGTCTGTTGTGAGGTAGTTCGAGATCTCCTCGAGGTTGCTGCGGTACTTCTCAAGTGCCTCAGAAGGTAGTCCCATCAGAGTCTGAGTCAAGGCGCCAGAATATCTGGGAACCAGAGCCGTGTCTTGCACAGAGAGGTTATCGAGTGTCAGGCTGCTAACATCCACATAGCTTTCGCTCTGTAGGGTTGCCGCAGAGATGTCTCTAGACATCTGCAGCCTTCGGAGGTTGCTGTCGACGTCGGCACCCGTCTGGTGGGAAACCTTCATGCCCTCCGGTAGCTCACTGAGGTGGATCTCAATGGCACGGTTGCGCATGGCCCGGGACAGCTCTCCATAGCGGGAGTCGACTGTCAAAAAGATTCGGAACTCGGGATGAGGCTTGATCATTCTTGGTTCGCCATCGGGTCCGCAATGTTCGTTGATGCTGAGGAAGCCATTCGGCTCGAGCAGCGAGTTGAGTCTGTCCAGAACAGAAGCATTGCAGAGGTTTGCGTTGTCAAGCACCAGCCACTGCCCAGTCTGCAGAGCCTTCACAATGACACCATCGAGCCATTCGAATCGAGGGTCGGTGGCTTCAAGTGGCTTCTGCAGGAGTTCGAGGACGTTGGTGAGTAGGGCCGCGATCTCGGTGGTGGGAGACACCTCGGAGAGAACAGTCTGCACTGATGCTGCGATGGCCTCGAGCGCATCAAGGTTACCGTGGTAGCCATCAAGCGCATGGAGTAGCGACAGCGCTTCATGAGGTACCTGTGCTGGGACTTGCGACAGAACAGAGACCTCGAGGGTCTCGTGCAATGCTCTCAGAGCAGCGTTCAGCTCGCGCAGGGGATCCGCTTGCTCGAAGCCGCCAACGAGATCCATGGTGTCGATGTCTGCGTTGAGCGGGAACACTACGAGGGACTTGCCAGCCACCGCGGCAACGTGCTGAAGAAGAGCTGATTTGCCGCTGCCTGAAGGGCCACCGATGATGCAGGGAATGTTTTGCTTGACACAGATCATCACGGACTCGATCTCGGAAAGTCGAGGTACAATATTGATGGCTGGCAGCTTGGACGGTTGCGACAGCTGGTTGCGGGCGATAAGAGCATTGCCGACCTGGCTGAAAGCCGTGCTGATGTCGTGGTATAGACTGTGATCGTGAGGCTGCCTGCCAAAGATGCTGGCGAATAGATTGTCCACCTCTTTACGATCCAAATTCGACCGGAAACGCTGGCGGACAATAAGGCCAAGGAAGTCATCGACGGTGCCCGTGCTCAGCAGAGGGTCCTTCGAAGCTAGCAGGTTCAGCCATCGCAGGATATCACGAAGGTTGAACTCCCAGGGGCCACCTTGCAGGCCAAAGGACTTCTCTATGACGATTTGGTGGTCCAGCTTGGTGATGAAGCGGATCACTCCGCGAGTGACATCCGAAGGAATATCTGGAAAGCTGTGACCAGCGATGAGGAGCAAGTCCTCCTCCGTCAAGACGTCGGCGTAAACAACGATGAATCGATTGACAAAGGAGCTCGGCAGACCCTTTCGACCACCACCTTGGTGATGCGGGTTCTGTGCCGCAAAGAGGCGGAAGTCGGGATGTTTGTGGAAGACCTGGTCGAGCTCGGAAATGTACACCTCGCCACGATGGTCAAGACAGGCGTTGAGACCTTCCAGCACTGACTGTGAAGCAAGGTTCATCTCGTCCAGGAGAACCCACTCACCCCTTTGCATGGCTTGGAGGAAAGGGGCATCCCTCCAGGCAAAGTTGCCGGCCTCGGCGCCTTCAACGGGCATGTCGGTACCGAACAGATCCATGAGATCAGTCTGGTCAGACAAGTTGATCCTCGTCAAAGGGCGACCGCATGTGGAAGCAAGGGCGGCAACGAGGGTGGTTTTGCCGACACCAGGGCTGCCTTCCAGCAGGATGGGCTTCTGCATCTGAAGCGATCGAAGGACGCGCATCAGGTTCAGACGTGTGGTAGGAGCATTGAACGCGATAGTGGGATCGATTGCTACTCCTGGTTCACGGGCAATCTCGAATTGGCCCAGAGACAGCGTGTTGGCGTCCATCGTCACTTCAGGCTGCGACCGGTAGATTTTCGTGGCATCGCATTTGAGAAGCTCACTCAGTTTGTCGAGACATTGTTGTCGCTGGGCTTCCATTGACTTGGGATCCATGGCCAGCAGTGCTGAAGGATTGGCTCCGAGTGTATCAACGAAAACGGTGGCGGCACCATGAACAACAGCAAAGTTGGGGTTCACGGAACCGAAGTGGTTGATAAACTTGACCCAGAGAAGAATGTCTCGAATCGAATAAGCAGCAGAGTGAGACGATCGGAAGGTCTCTCCGAACCAGGCTGAGAAGTGAACGATGGTACTGCCAAAGTTCCGCAGTGTGGTGTCCAGCTTGGATCGAACGATCTGCAGGACATCCTCTCGGTCAGAGAGTGATGGGACCCAAATTTCGGTGAAACGATTCCTCAGAGCAGGGGACAGTTCCTTCTTGCCGAAATCACCACCTGGATTCATCGTCGCAAGGAACTGGAAGCCGTTGCTCGCAGTGACAAACGAGTTGTCGATGCCTTTCTCGGCGAGAAGTAGGGTGCGCCCAGGCTCGAGTACCGAGTTCAACCTCTCAAGGACAGAATCGTCGGCAAGCGAGATCTCGTCCAGGAGGAAAAAGTCACCAGACTTCATTGAGTTGACAAGACTGCCGTCGGACCACTCGAAAAGCGCTTTGCTCTTGGTCTCCAGAGCAGTAATGCTCTCCAGCACGGCCGCGTCCACTGTCGACAAGACATCTGCAGGCAGCTCGCGATAGGCCTGCATGAGCTCGTCAAAGCTACCGGAGGAAGGCTGGCCAACGCGAGTGAGGAGTGTGGCCAATTCCGATTTCAGTGTATCCGAAATTGCACCTCGGTTACGAACCGGCCGTTGGGAACCGATTAGGTCGCCAGTCTCGGTGTTCTGGTGAGCATTGACAATGTGAAGTTCCTTTCCCAACGCCTCGGCAAGCATTTGGCAAACGGTTGTCTTGCCACAACCTGTATCGCCCACCAGCAGCACGGGTTCGTTGTTGCGGAGGGCGTAGTCGACCAGAGTATAGAGACGTCGCATGGCCCCAGTCCACACCACGCCCTGGCTGTTCTCGCCAGACTTGCCCTTGCCCGTGAACATGGTCGAGTAGAGCTGCTCCGGGTCAATCTTGACCTTGAAGACCTTCTCAATGATTTCCTTGACGGCGATGCGCTCTTCATCCACGCGCACACGTTCGGCCAGGAGCATGAAGCCGTTGATGGCAATCTGTTCGCGATCCTCGGCGCTTCTCTGAGTCCAACGGAACAGGTCTCGGAGGGTGGCAAAACTGTCCTTTTGCTCGAACATCCTGCTCGTCTGTCGCAGACGGGACAGCTCCTTGTAGACTGTCACTATGCGCTTGCAGTCTGAAGGAGCAGTGTTCCGGCTCCTTTGTTGGAGGATGTACTCCAATTCATCCTCAGGGATATCATCGTAGTGCAACTCCAGGAATCTGTTGCGGAAAGCCCGGGACAGCGCTTTCCGGCCTCCGTAGAGACCAGGCGGGTTCTGCGTCGAGAAGAGCATGAAGTTCTCGTGCGGTCGCACGATCTCTTGCGTCTCTGGAATGAGAAGCTCGCGGTTGTCGTCCAGTAGACGGTTGAGTGCCTCGAGGACATCAGTGGGTGCAAGATTGAGTTCGTCGAGCACGATCCAGTGGCCTTGGCGCATCGCCTGGACGAGAAGACCTTCCTGGAAGCGCAGCTTTCCGTTGGAGTCTGAAGAATACGTTCCGAGGTACTCTTGGAGGTCCGTGTGCTCGTGATTGTTGATGCGGACAAACTTGTTGCCCGTAAAGTTGGCCAGATATTCGATCATACTAGTCTTTCCGGCGGACGTAGGACCTTGGATGAGGATGGGGAATTTTCGTGTTGATGTGGCGCGAACAAGATTGAGCAGGTTGCGCTCAACATAAGGGGTGATGATGTAGTCGGATCGCTCTTGCGGTTCAAGAGCGCCTTGCGACAGCCAATAATGACGGTTCTTGGCTTTGTTGACGAATCGAACATACTTCTTTCCGTCATCCGGGTGTGTAGGGGGTTTCGAGAGGAGGGACTGAGGGTTTGAGATTTGGCCAAAGAGGCGGTGGTCGATGAGTGGCATGAGGAGCTTTTCAGAGTCGCGGTTGAGGAGTGTGAGGAAACCCATAGAGAAGCCTTCGTACAGGGCTCGACGAAGGCCATAAAAGGGCGCGATGTGGTTGACATAGGACAGCACGCGGGTCAGGGTACGTAGGCTGAAGTGCGGCACCTCGTTGGCACCATCCACCAAGCTTTTTTCTTCTGCCCGAAGCTTGGTATCGAGGTAGAGGCGGGCAATGTCATCGGCTGCCTTATCGTCGCGAGTCCCAGAGCCCTTGAGATACGTCTTCACGATGGTCAAGAGATCCTTGACGTCGCGATCCGGACTGTCGACGTAAATCTCGGTAAATCTGGATCGGATGCCAATGGGCAAATCGCGCTTGCCAATGTCTGTTGCCGGGTTCATGGCGCCGAACATGCGGAAATTCGGGTGCGCCTTTATCCTCTGAATCTCGCCCGTTTCTGATAGGAGGATGGATGGCGTCTCGGCTGGGCCGGTCAAAAGGTCCGCGATGCTCTCGAGAGTGTCGGGGGAGGCAAGGTTGATCTCGTCCAGGAGGACCCAGTCTCCGTTTCTTGCTGCCTTGACAATATTGCCCTCGACAAACGAGAAAGCGAAGGCTCCAGAGCCTCCGGACATTTGAATCTCAAACTGGTCAAGGCTGCGGGTGAAAGCATCCCAGCGCGGTTTCAGGTCAAGGAGCCTCTGTAGTTTGGACTCGGTCTTCCGCCTCTTGGTCGGCTGGTCCTCACCGTTGCGAGCTTCTCTTTGCTCGTTCTCCCGCCTCGTCAGCTCCTCGACAATCTTGATGAACATCTTTGGCGCTTGCCTCCATTGGCGGGAAACTCTGGACCAGTCGCCTTTCGCAAAAGTCTTTCCGAGAAGTTCCAAGTAGGCCTGGTTCTTCGTGGCCGATATGCCCGTTGCGGCGAAGAGATCTTCAAACTCTTCCATCAGGGGCACCGCAAGACTCCGCACATTGACCGGCTTGAAGCCTCCCAACAAATCACCGACTTCACTTTGCTGTGACAGGTTGACTGCAATAAGCTTGTGGCCGAGTGTGTCGGCAAGCTGCTGGATCACAGTCGTCTTGCCGATACCCGTCTCACCGACGAGCAGTACGGGCTCGCCAGACTTGACCGCAACAGCCGCTTGCTCCAGCAATTTCTTGGCGTGGGTCGTATTCGCGAACGGCCTCTTAGACTTGACAATCTTGCCAGAACGGTCCTTCTTCTTTCGGAGCTTGACTCGGCCGATACGGAAGTGATCGGGACCGTCTTCAAGCTGCGGGATGCTAGCTTCGAGGTAATGCTCTACCCGCTCCTTGGCCATGTGCCACTCCTCGGCGATCTGGAAGGTGATGTGCTGGCGTGCCTTGGCGTCAGGTATCCTGGATACGAAACAGTCAACTGCTTCCATGAACATTTGGTCGCGTGTTGTGTCGCTGATGGGTTCGTCGCCCGTCGTGCAGTTGGCGTCTGCAAGAAGGCTCGCAAGCCGACGACACCATCGCAGCAGGTCTCGGGAACTTGGTTGACGGTCAAGCAAGCTTCGGTTGAACGAGCCGCGGCTTGCTCCCGACACCGAGTTCGTCAACCTCCTGAAAACAGCCATGATTTCGGGAGCGAATCGTCGCAAAATGGGGTATGTGCCCACGATGATATCGAGGAATTCGGCTTCGGACGGGATCTGGATTGATAGCTGTTGCCAGAAGCGAAGACCGAGGAGGTTCGGCAGCGTTTCGCGCCCATGCATGCCTTTTGTCGTGCGAACGGTGGCAAACAAACGAAACTCGCTCGAGGCCTTAATGGTCTCACCTCGGCTAGGGATGAGGAGCTGACCGCGTTCGATCAGCGGCAAGAGGGTACTGATGACTTCGTTTGGGGCCCGATCCAGGTCTTCGATGAGAACCCATCGACCCTCCCTGACAGCTGTCGTCAGGACACCAGGTCGCCACGAGAAGCTTCCTGGCTTCGAGTCTGCCGCGTAAAGCCCCACCAGCATCTTCGCATCGGTCTGTTCGTTAATGTGCAGAGTCACCATTCCGGAGTGTTTCCCGAACTCTTTGGCGAACTCGTGAATGACGGAGGTTTTGCCGGATCCAGGAAGTCCATGGAGTAGAATCGGTTTCCTGTCCTTCAGGAGGTTGGCCAGGCTTTCCAGGTTGTTTGATGTCGTCGTGGTGGGAACTAGAGAAGATGTGTTATGCGAAGGTGCGGAAGGTCGAGGGAGGATTGTCTGCCCGTAGCAGGCGACGAGAGGGGTCAGTGCTTGGGGAGGAATAGCTGGGACATCATCTTTCAGAGCCCTCTCGTTCCTCTCGCGACGCAAGGCATCTAGATTCTCCACACGTGCGTGCTCGTGCAGCGGCAAGAAGCCAAAGTCAACGTGTTGGCCATCAAAGTCTCCAGAGATGGCCGAGGCACCGACATGCTCCCGAATGAGAGCCTCTCGCTTGGCGTCTGCGGCGTGAACCTGCAGACAGAAGATCCGGATACACAGGTAACGCACAGCGAGATGCTCGTGAGCAAAGAGTGATTGCATTTGGGCGGGTGAGACCAGGATCGAGTAGGCGCTTGCATCAAAGCTGATCAGTCTCCATACTGCCAGTAGCAAACGCAAGAGTTCGTCTTGCTGGAGATTTTGCAGGCTCGCGAAATCGAGCTGCTGAAGCCCCAGCGGTTTGTTTGAGGTTGGTGATGAGCCTGAGCTCATGTAATGCCTGAGAAAAGTCGACAAGTAGGGCGCGAATCGCAGTACTCGCGCAAATGAAGCGAGGACATCCGTCTGGGTCTTCGCATCGGTTGGGTTGAGGATCCATCGGGCACAGAGGTCAGGGAAAACATGCTCGAAATGGACGAAAAGTCGGCTTGTAAGTTGTGGTATGAGAGCCGCTTGAGACAGAACGTCAAGTAGGTTCGTGGAGGTGTCATCTCGAATGACGGCAAGGATTTCCTGAGGCAGCTGCTCAAGGACAATCGCATCGTCCAGGAGAGCCGCCCTTTGCGGCGATATGTCAACCGTCGCCATGGTTGCGTCGATATCTAAAGATATGTCGTCGCGATCAAGTCCTGGGGTCTTCCTCTTCTTTTTTCGCTGAGCATTTCCAACTTTTTAGCGGGTCCCTCCAGGATATAACGGAACCCGGCACCACCCACCTTCCGGGCCAATCAGATGCGCCGAATTCGGGCGTCGTAGCTTCACGCGACTCTCCAAGCTCGAAAATCTTCGAGCAACTCACCACTGTGTGCCTATCCCGATCGAACGACCGACCTCAAGTCGCCAATCCACAAACCAGCCATCGACCCTCCCTCCACCCCCTCCCCTCATTCAACTCAACACCACAATGGCCATGTCTTGCAGGTACGCGGCTCGCAGCTGCGCCCGTCAGCTGCGCACCGCCAGCTCCCTCCGCGCTTCCGCCTCTTCTTTCCAGACCCGAACCCCTGCGACAGCGAGACGGCACAACTCGACCGAGGCTGCGCCTGCGGCAAACCCCAAGATTGAGACCATTGTCGACCAGATCAGCAAGCTCACTCTCCTCGAGACCGCCGACCTCGTCTCCACCCTGAAGGTATGCACACACGAGACCGCCGGACCCCATTGGCCTCGGGCCTTGTGACTTGCGAACGCTTGCTTACCGTATCGCCTCGTGCCCCCCTTTTATAGTCCCCGACTCAACATCCCCGACCTGCCTGTCGGTGGCTTCGCCGCTGGCCCTGCCGCCGCCGCCCCTGCTGCTGCTGCCGCCGAGGAGGCTGACGAGCCCGCCCCCGCCGCCGCCGAGAAGAGCGTCTTCAACGTCAAGCTCATGGCCTTCGATGCCGGCTCCAAACCCAAGGTCATCAAGGAGATCAAGAACCTGCTGGGTCTCAGCTTGGTCGACAGCAAGAAGTTCGTCGAGAGCGCCCCGAAGCTGATGAAGGAGAACGTGCCCAAGGACGAGGCCGAGAAGATGATCGCCACGCTGAAGGAGCTCGGCGCCACGGTCGAGATGGAGTAAACGGAATCTGCCTTCCTCGCACAGCAACGACGGGCTTCCAAGGACGAGAGGACATCCGGTGGCATTCGATGGGAATGGGACCTGGACTACCTAGATGGATGTGTATTGAGTGTATAAACACCCATGTAACAATAACAACATGTACCCCCATTTTTTGTTTCATATTGCTTCCAAGGCGATCACTGTCACTGGGACACAAACGACACGTGTGGCCGACTCGGCTGAAATCTAATTCTGCATCAGATGCACAGAGGGCTTCATGCCAAACCGCGCGCATACACAAAGGACAACCGTGGTATCTTGACCAGAGGGGAACACGCCGGTCCCCCCTTTTTTTCAACGCCCACCCATACCTATGAGACCTCACACCCAACACCAGATTTTCATGCACAGATGAGAAAGCAACACTTTAGTGAGAGGTACCGTTGCCATGGCCGCGGCCACTGGCGCCGTTATGATCCTTACGACCGTAGAGGTCATCCAGATCACGGGGTGTGTAGTGGGGGCACTGCTGAGCAACAGCCGCCTCACGGGCAAGAAACTCCTCGCGGCCCATCGTATGATCGTCCTCGCCGAGGTCACTAGTCTCCTCCCAGAGGCGATCAATCTCGGCGTCGCGGTCCCGGATGGCCCAGATGTCCTCGCGGAGCCTCTTGTGGCGCTCGCGGTCTTCTTCGATGCGCTGCTCAATCTGGCGCTTGTCGAGCCCGGGGGCAGACGGGCGACCGGGTTTGGGGATCGTCTGGCTGGGCGGCATGTCGCCGAGGTCCTGGTCACCCTGGACAGGCGACGAGAGGCCGGCATCATGAGCGCTGGTTTCGCGGTCCTTGAGGACCTCCTCGATCTGGACCACGACTTGGTTCTCAATGTGTCCCTTGTTCTCAAGACACTGAAGGACCTGCAGCGGATTAGTCACCGCCAGACTCGTCACATAGAGTCGGATGTGAGCCAACTCAGGGCACTCACCAGGCGGACAACCCTGACGTTCGCAGCGCCGGAAGCATTCTCAGGAGCGACGGCGTCAACGATGCGGATGATGTCGCGCTGCACCATGGTGATGTAGTTGAGGTGGTTTTCCTTCTTGGCCATGTCCATGATGTGCTCGATGCAGAACATGATGTTGGCGCGCGTATTCATGTTAGACTGTGTTCAATGTCAGCAGAGTGCACCTTTGCTGTTGTCGAATGAGTTGATTTTACCCGCTCAAGCTGCTCGAGGATGCAGGAGTGAAGATCCTCATCCATGTCCTTGTACTTCATGGCGTACGCGGCCGCTTTCTGATGGGACACGACTGTCGCATTCAGATGCTGCAGCTGGCTGGAGAAGCGCATGCGCACCTCAAAAGGATCAGCCATGGTGACGCTTTCGGCAGATTCGGGCTCAAGATCGGTGCTGGAGGAAGTGTTGATGCTGTGGCGAAACTGGATCGAAGCAGGAAGGTCGATAAGAGGAGGCGGAAAATCGTGGAGGGGACTGATGGAGTCGTCTCGGACGAGAGAACGAAGCCTGGGGCTCTCGATGATTCCCACAGGGCTGTTCTCTTCAGAAGACGCCATCTCGCTTTGCGATTGTCGATACAGCGGCTTCTCCGGGGGAGTGCTAGCGTGGTATGTGGAGTACTAGGTGCGAATCCGCCATTCGCACGTGGGAAATAAGTATGACCCGCCTCTCAAGACCAGCGGGGCAGTCAGGCATCACAGGCCTTTCAGTTCACTGCCACCAACCACTCACCTAGGTACAGTACCTGGTAAGTCCATCACATTAAGGAACATGTTGAATTATATTCTTATGTGCCGGCAAATATTTTCGTTCAAGAAAACTTCATTCTTATTAATTCTTAGTCATTTCACAAACTCATCAACGTTGAGGTGCTCCATTGTACTACAGGACACGCCACATCTTCAACACCAAGTGCCCAAGATCTCACATGTTAAAAATGACAAAAGATGTAATTCAGTCCTACATCGCTCTTTTATCGAGAGCTTCTTGGCCCAAGGAGCGGTTCACGCTAAGAATTTGAATGCACAGAGGGGCTGGTAATCTGCATTTTGGCCAGATTAGAATCAACCGTTTGTGGCCCTCGATGCACATGTGAACACAGATAGCACAAGCGAAGCTTCTCAAAGTGCTCTGACAACCGATTTCGGGTATTGTTAAATCGACGTTCACTTTGCCGCATTCTTCCAAAGGGTCATTGTCCGACCTAGTACAAAGACAACCTAACAAACCATAACCAGGCAATCACATCCGTCCTGACTCCCAGGTAAAGAAGCGAGCGTTCCTCACGCCCATCTGCAGCAATCCTATCCCAGGGCTCAACCTCATCTCCATCGCCCCAAGCCATGCCAGACATCACCTAGGCATCCTCCACACGAGCTTTTTTGCTCAACCCTTGGCCCACTGCCTCGTCCACTGATTTCCTCTTCCCGTTTGAAGAGTTCTGGCCATAGTGCTTCTCCCACCTTTCATGCGCCGCCAGAAGGCGCGCGTACTCCAGCTCAACACTGCCCAGGGCCTCGTTCAGCTTTTCGCGACGCTCGGGAAGGTCGATCTGGCCGAGGATATCTTTGTTCTGACGATAAACGCGCTGCTTGGCAAACATGCGCCAGAGGCGATACTGGTGTGCCTCGGCTCGCGTTGGCTTGGCTTTCTTATCGACACCAAAGCTGGGCTGCACGGATGCAGGGAGTTGTGACATGGTATGCATTTCGACCAACCGGGCAAATTGCCTCGGGGCGATCTTGGTTTTGCGGCGCAACTTGTCGAGAAGGTCCGAGTCGACAATGTCGCGAGGCACCGCCTTGGACGAGTCGTCGGGCACGTTGATGTCAGTGTTGATGCGGACCTGGGCGAATTCGGGAACGGTTTTCAGATAAGTGAGGTCCGAAAGGTCTCGCATGTCATCGAAAGCCTCATTGGGGTCCTCGACAGTGAGCTCCATGGCCAGGGGGTTGGCAAGGTAGTGCTCGAATATGCTCTTGTAGAGTCTGGCGCCAATACCCTTGCCCTGGAAGGGCGGCAGGATGACGAACTGCGACAGACGAGTTCGGCAGGGGAGATTAGTGATCTCAAAATCGCCCTTGGGAAGCTCCCAGTCGGCCGCAGGAGACGCCGGAGGTGAGGGCGCCTGGAAGTAGAAGAATCGGTATATGGTGGAGTATCCCACAAAGGTGTACGGTGACTGAGCTGCATCATCGGCGACAGGTTGTTTCCTGTAAAGCAGGAAGACGGTCCATCGGGCGGCGTCCTCCGGTACCTTCCACGGGTCTGCCGCCTGGGGATCCCGGGCAATATAGGAGCCACCCTCGATGAAGAGTGGTACGAAAATCTCGACTCGGGTGATCAGCTGATGAATGGCAGGATCCGTAAGGCTGCCTTTGCGGATCTCGTATGTTCCATCCTGGGTCTCGAAGCTCGTGTGCAGCTCTCCAGGTGGCTTCCATTCTTTCGTAGTCTTCTGCACACTGGCCTCGAAATCCTTGACACTGGAGAAGGCAACTAGCGCCATTGATTAGCAACGGACGCTTCAACCGCGATGCTCATTTGAGGGACCAAACTCACTTGTGGGCAGATGCTCCTGCAGAACAGCCCTGATGTCCGTTGGCTCTGTGTCGCCTATAGCCTTGAATTTCTCTTTCGACGTGATCTGGACGTGAGGGCGCATGTCGTTGGCGGAGTAGCGAAGGTTGATCTTGAGACCCTTGTAGCCAAAGATCTGCTCCTCATTACCGAAGATGGGATATGTGAATCTCGGATTGAACGTGGCGATCGCTTTGAGGCCCGCATCGGTCGGCCTGACGAGGCCGATGTTCAGGGCGTCATTGGCATTCGCCGACCCTGCGGCGTGAGGCGGTTAGCGCAAGCAGGAAGGTGCATTTGGGGACATGCGACGTACATTCACCCTCCTCGGCCATGACGAATCGAGGAAGAAAGCTCTTGTTGATTGAAGCTGTATGTTGAAGCGCTTGTCTTAGCAGCGATAGCAGGTGCGACGTAAGGGAGTTTGGGTGGGCTTTGCTGCAGCAGGAATGGGTGGACGACCTAGAAAACGAAGCTCGCGATCTTGAGGTTGCAATCGCGACGCGGTCGCGACGTGTCGAGGACCAGGGATAAAGTGGTTTCTGCTGATGTAAGGCAGTCCCCGTGGATCGAGAAGCTGGAAGCCCCGGTCAAACAGAAGCTCTGAAGGCATCTGGTACTGCGCTAATTTTCTCGCCTAACATTCTTACACAGTAGGCTGGTACATCTTGGGCGACCGCCATCCTGCTGTGCGGGCCGCCAGCACTGTCCTTCAGCGATCTCTGCACCCCGCTGGGCGATGCTTGAGACAATGCCACAAGGGGTCTTGAAGTCATGCTTTACCATCGTGGCTTCTATGAGATCGGTTGGCTTTCCAAGACCAGATTTTTCCTTTTGACAATACCTGCGGCCAGAACTTGCTTGAACATCTAGTCCATCTAGATGTAGATAGATACCTCTTCGTCTCGGGAGCTGGCTCGCTACCTGATGACAGGGATCAAAAGACCGAGCCTTCCCGATGAGGGTGTATGGGCGGGGGGGGACCAAAGAGCCCGATTGAAGCTTAAGTGTTAATGCCTCCGGCCTACATTGTATCCTGCGAAGCCTATGGGGTTTGAGGGTTTGAAGCGCTTGCTTTGTTGATTATGATGAAGGATGGAGGGTGTACATGTGTCAATAATAGAAATGAAGTCTACAGGATGGAGAGCCCGAGTCTACACATTTGCCCTGGCCCAACGCCATGGGATGTCTAGATCCACGATTTGGATGACATTCGTCACATGGAATCTGGAGGGCAATGTTGGCTGAAATGCCGGCTGAGTTCAATAACGACACAGCGTCACTGGTAGCCCCCTTCAATTTGATTGAAAATCATCAACGAAGAGGTTCGAATATCGGCCTTTGGTGCTCCTCTGATCAGTCAAGCTGCGCCTCAGCACAAGAGGCCCAGTTGTCTCTTGCAGGTCATCTACCTTGATAGACTCGATAGAAGCGAGGCTCCAACGATCCTCCAACGGACATCGAAACGAGTGGGGGTTGGCATGGGGGCGTTCGTGGCACTGACTGGCGCTGTCTTGGCTGCAGGGTCCAACGCGCGGTTGCGACCGCTCCAGCCCCGTTTGGGCAAGTCCAGCAGTTCCGAGTCCCTCAAGGTGTTCCATTCCACAATGCCGCATTGGATCCTACGAGGTACATCATTCTCGAGCTCCCGCCTCTTTTCCTGCTGGCTCGACTGTCCCCAGCCGTGCTCGATTGTCTCTGCTTCACCTTGACTCAAGTCAATCGACCAGCACCTGCAGCTCATCCGCAGATCCGGCACCATGGGCGGGCTATTCCTGTTGCTCGTGCTTTGCGTAGGTACACCCTGAAGTACAACCTCCATTCAAGCCTACGGCAAGATCTAGCGATGCTGACACCAAGTGACAACAGGCTGTCATGGCCGTCGCGTAAGCCCTCAGTCCCTTTCGAAGCAGCCGCCGTCTTCCGACTTGACTGACCACAGGACGCAGCTCCTTTCTGGCCGGCTCGCTACCTCTCGCCGTCTCTCTCACTCCATCACAACTCCGACTAATATCGAGCTTGGGCATTGGCATTCTAGTGGGCACATCCATGATTGTCATCATCCCAGAGGGTGTCGAGGCGGTCGTCGCATCAGGAGTCGGTGCTCATGCGCACCGTACAAGAGGCCTCGCGCAAGCCCTCAACAGGCGCGGGGAGCTGGGCGTGCGATTGACGTCAGCAGATGCCGTCACGACCTTCGACAATGATAAGCAAGCCGAGCTGATGGACCATCTTCGAGCCCTGGCGGCGAACGAGGCCCAGCACTACCGAGTGCTTCCGCGGGATGGGCCGGCAGAACACACCCACGACCACGACCACGCCGGCACAGGCAAAGGCGAGGAACATGCTGGCGAAGAGGAGGGGCCGGAGGTGTCTGGTTTCCACATCGGGCTGTCCATGGTGCTCGGCTTCGTCCTGATGTTCCTCATTGACAGGATTCCTCGCCATGCGACCGAAGGCCGCACGAGCGAGCCGCACATGCGACACGTCAGTCTCGACAATCTCGGCGCAAACTCAAACGGCGACGCGGAAGCGGATGGCTTTCTCGGTGGCCTAACGCAGCCGTCGAAGGATCCGCGCAGCTTTGCGACGACAATCGGCTTGGTGATTCATGCATGCGCCGATGGCATCGCCATGGGCGCGGGCGCGACGACCTCAGACACGCAGCTAGGCCTCATCATCTTCATTGCCATCATGCTCCACAAGGCCCCGGCCGCCTTTGGCTTGTCGTCGGTTCTGCTGAAGCAGGGGCTCTCTAAGCGGGCTGCTCGGACGCATCTGATCGTCTTCAGCCTGGCTGCGCCGTTTGGTGCTCTCTCCACGTGGGCTATCATCACCGTGCTTGGCGGTGGGCAGCTCGAGGGCCCGTCGGGAAAGTGGTGGACCGGCATGCTCCTGTTGTTTTCTGCCGGCACCTTCCTGTGAGTACCAAACCAGCGGCCAGAAGCTGACCATGGTTCATGACACTGACAAGCAGTCCAGATACGTTGCCATGCATGCCATGCAGGACGGCGATGGCGGTCACCAACATGGCTCCGCTGGCTACGCAGAGGCTGGCGCCGGTGGCCAGCCGAAGCCGCAGATGCGTGACACGCTGGTGGCTGTGGTTGGGATGCTACTGCCCCTACTAACGCAGTTCGGTCACCATCACCACTGAACACGGGAATGTCGATGGCCAAAAGGTTAGCGTTTTTGGTTGGGTGACAAAGAAGGCCTGGAAGTCCAATGTTTCACGATCGCAACGATACCACTTTGCTCGATGTACAGTACCCCCAAGGTGGAGGAGGTACCGGGTTTAAACGCGCAAAAGTAAAGTCTTTCCCCATCCGTACAATTGTACCCATCAAGTGCTGCCACGGGAGAGGAAAGCACGCCAAACGTGAACAGGTAATGGACAGGCCTGATGCGAGCCCGTGACAACTATGCGGTACCTCTTGGTCGACAGACGATGGCTGCTGCCAAAACCAATCTCCGAAGACCGAACGAAGCGCCCGTAGTATACGGCCCAAGGTTTGGGTCGGGATCATCTTGGGTGACATGATCGCCAGATAGTACAAAACATCAGACAACGACGCTCAAAGACATTGGCGCAACACGCAGCACATGGCCTACCCTCGAGTCTACGGTCGAGTGCCGTACCCGACTTCCCGGTCGAACCTCTACCGCACACCCTGTCGTGTATGTTACATTGTCATTTTCCCAGGGTTCACTCCTCGGAACTCCTTCCCATGATCCCAGCCCACGATGCCTACCCATCGCTTTCCTACAGGGCGGACGGGCCTTTCTAGAAGTCAGCGCATGAATGATCGCCGTCTCACCATACGAAAGCATCCGTCTTGAGATGACTGACGACCAGAGGAAATTTTCCAGACCGCCAGCCTTGGGGCGTGCTTGCGCCGGGTGCACTGAAAGGAACGGGACGAGGGTATGGTGAAGTCAGCAGCGGTCACTCGTCACTCGTCACTCAAGAGGTCCTCGATGCTCGTGACGGACGGACCCTGACCGCGTGCCACACCCACGTCTCTTGTGTCAACTAAGCGGAGACGGGTAGCATCTGAGGCGGCAAAGCCACCCGGGACTCTGCACAGATGCGACCCGTTTTACATGCCCAGCAGGGCTGTGAAGCACCATGTACATGTACTTGGAGTCTCTCGCAAGCGCGCGAGGGACCACTTGTCAATGGATGGTGCCAGTACCTTGCGTGGCGGAATAGGCCGCGGGACATGGAAAGAGAGGGAGGCAGTGGACGCAGGTTTTGCACCCAGATGGGCCAGGCATGCGCAGGACGGTCCATTTTCCATTTTTCTTTTCTCCGTCTCTGGCCGTGTTTGGCCTGTTTGCCTGTCAAGCGACTTCACAAAGAGCAATCCGGTGGGGATCGTGGTCAAGCTGGGCGTCCAAGGCTCCTGGGTTTGAAACGAGGGGGTGCGAACGAGGGGTTTGGAGCACGGTCCCTTGGCTCACCTTGGGCTCAGGGGGATTCGGTGGGTACCTACCTAGGTACCTCAGGTACCTAGGCACATGCTCACTGGCGAGGGAAGTAAACGAATGTACCCACGTTAAACCCCCTACCTAGCAAGCCCAGGCACTCACCTTTACCATCTTCCTCGCCAGGCCAGTATCAGCCTTGGGTGCATGAAGGGCGGGACGGGTGATGGGAGGGGTGGGCGGGTGATCCCTCGCTTCGCCATGCACAGGCAGCACAGGGACGGTACCTACCTATATTGGTACGTGGTACAGCACATTGGCAAACGCATGGGGCTGCTCTGCCCGTGCGGGCCCCCGTTGATCGGAAGATGCAATGTGATCCAGACCTTGTTTAGCGCCGTCGTTGACCTACAGGAACAGATCCATCTCTCCAAGTGTGCGACTTCAAATCTAGTATTCATGAGTTTGTCTTGAGGCTCCCAGGCTGTTCTACCGACGCGCTGCGACTTGCTTTGAAATGGGGTATCCTGCTTTGGGGGCCCAGGGAGCCTGGCTTGCCAACGAGTCATCTAGGCCGACGCAGTCGTCGCTGTCACCGCAGCACCGACGTCATTCCAGTCCACCCTTGATCGGGCTGGAACGTCAACTGAGTGGCACCAAGCGCCCACTAGTAGACCAGCCGCCGCCAGAGACCCTGCAGCACGCGCACACTGTCGCTCGGCTGTGAGGTGAGGTGAAGTTGGGGTAGGTAGGTACCTAGGGTACCTAGGTAATAAGGTAGGTACAGAACGAGGGTGCTGCTTTGTTTGTCGGCCACAGGATCGGACGCGGACGGATCGATCCAGGACCGCACAAGGAACGAGCTTACGAGCCAGGAAATGAACGATCGATATTTATTGCCAGTAGATTAAGGCCCAACAGAGGGAGACGACGGGCGACCGCCAATGTTGCTTTTGTCAGAAATAAGCCTGCCCTGTGTTTGCTGAAGAACTATTGATCATCGAGGATACCACGCCGCCATGCAGCCCTCGCGTCAACATGTGTGAAGACTGGCCCTGCCCACCTGAATGAAGCCAAGGACATTTTGGCAATGGAGCACACACAGACATGCAGTCAATGGGTCGTCAAGATGAAGTTTCCACGCCACAAGACCCTGCGAGCCGGACTGGACCAATCCGATGCCATCTGACTCCCATTCTGAGCTTCAGGCGAGGCGTGGTCGGTAGCGCACCGCAGGGTAAGCCCTTCCGCCGGGCGGCAGGACCACTAGGGCACTACAAGTACAACTCGTCGATGCTCAAGAGGTACCCGCATCTCCACCTGATTCGAGGCAACTCTGGAGGTATTTCCTTAGTGCGGCCAGGTACTCGAATCGTCGCCCAAGGGACTACTGGGTGCTGCATGTGGACTTGCGGCGGACTTTACAGGGCCTCGCCTCTCCAAATCCACCCCCCCCAAGGCCCCCCGAGGAATGGAAGGCCCCTGGCGCCAGGCCTTTATTGGATCGCTCCCCGCCTGGATGCCAGCCGCCGTCCCCCCATCTCCATCCTTTCACCTCCATTTCCATCTTCATCGGCCGTCCCTCGACTCCCTCTGCGTCCCTGCTCCCGTCTGCGGTCGCCCTGCCCTCGCCCACTACCGACATCCTCGACAACCAAGGGCCAGCGCCACAAAGGACGGGCACCACAGCAAAAGGGACTTTCCCTGGTCGGATCTCACAGCTACATCACGTCGTCCTGTTAATCAACTCGTTCTTATAGTACGACGACCAGCGACCGTCCTTTCACCCATTCCACCGTCGTTTCGTCTCCGTCTGGACAGGCCTGATTTGTCGCCCGACCCCCCAGTCTCCTCCTCATATACACACTCTTCTTGGGCACCACCCACCCTCGAGTCGATTGGTCTGAATCACCGTACGGGATTCCCTCGATTCAGAAAGACTCGGCCACCCTGCGCGGCGTTGCAGTCTCAAAGTAACGCCAACGAACGTCATCGAACCCTGCCTGTCACTCTGAACCCTTCCATACCAACTACTCTCCGCATTTACTTGGCCTCCCTAGACCTGGTGATGTTCATCATTGCCGTAAAAGGTTCTTCTACTTCTTCCCGCCAATCCTCTACGCCTTGAAGAGAGACTCGACATCTCTTGGTCGACGCCCTACGACCCGAGGTTCAGCAACGCCCCTCCCCCCCCCAACCAGACACGACAGCCATCGTCTCCGACATGGCAGGCTACGGTCGACCATTGAGCTTCTCTGAGAGACGAGGAAGCCAGCTGAGCGAAGATTTGACCTTGAACACAAGCAACGGCATGGGGCCAAGCGAGCGTGCGGACAAGATGCCACAGCGACTTGGTCACATCCGCGGGCCCCCGACTCCCAGCATGCCCACGCCTGCCACAGACTACGATCAGCAACTCACAGGGTCTCCGCCGCCACCGCCGACCCCTGCAGCCTCTCCGGGTCCTTCTCACGGTCAACTCGACTGGAGCGATGCCGCCGATGACGAGGATTTCTTCCTCGCAAAAGTGCGCCAACATTTCAAGGCCGCGTCTGGACCGCAGCGGACGAGGATTCTCGGCGACCTGCTGAATCTCTGCACAAGTCAGCAGCTCAGCTTTGTCCATCAGTTTGTCAGCCCGCTGTTGAAGAAGGATCCATTTACCAGTCTCCCTGACGAGCTCTGTCTTCGGGTAAGAGGACCTTCCTCCTTGCCCCCTCCTTGTGCCGACGAAGGCATGACTAATTCACTCTGTCTCGCATGTAGGTTCTCTCATTTATCGACGATCCGAAAGTCCTCGCTCGTGCCTCACAAGTCTCAAATCGGTGGCGAGATCTCCTCTCCGATGACCTTACGTGGAAGAACCTCTGCGACAAACACAACTATAGCACAGAAGAGGAAGACAGTCCGACACAGCAGAGCCCCACACATGCCGCCCGTCAGCACCACGAATCACATGCAGGCCCCAGCCGCCGCGAGTCGATGGCGGCATCGAGCACTCCTCACGATTTACAAACCAGCAGCCCCGGGAACCGACGACCGAGGATCAGAACATACAGGTCGCATTTCAAACAAAAACACCAGGTCGAAATGGCTTGGAGGAACGGTGGAACGCACATCACCCGAAACATCACGCAAGAGGGTGGTGTGGTCACGAGTCTTCATTTGACCTCCAAATACATCATCGTTGCACTGGACAATGCCAAGATCCATGTTTTCGATGCGCAGGGAAACGCACTGCGGACTTTGCAAGGACACGTTATGGGCGTGTGGGCAATGGTTCCCTGGGATGACATCCTGGTCAGCGGCGGATGTGATCGTGACGTCCGAGTGTGGGATCTGACAACTGGGTAAGCGAATCGCCATGTGTCTAGAGTGTTGCTCAGCTAACTTGCATAGTGCCTGTTCCCACACATTACGGGGTCACACGTCAACTGTTCGATGCTTAAAAATGTCGGACGCCAACACGGCTATTTCGGGGTCGCGCGATACGACACTCAGAGTTTGGGATATTCGGACGGGCCTGTGCAGAAACGTCCTGGTCGGACACGGTGCTAGCGTCAGGTGTCTAGAGATCCACGGAGATACTGTTGTATCTGGCAGTTACGATACCATGGCCAAGGTCTGGAGCATCTCGGAAGGCAGATGTATCCAAACGTTGCAAGGACATTTCAGCCAGATTTACGCCATTGCTTTCGATGGCAAGCGGGTCGTCACCGGCAGTCTCGA